TCAGGAGAAGGGATAGTCTTTTTAACCAAGAGTGGTGGATCAACTTGATCTGTGCAGGGACAAAATGAACCTCACCCATATACAGAAAATGTCTTTAAATGGATTATAGACTTAAATGTAAGAGATAAAACTATTAAGCTTCTAGAATAAAACATCAAAGATATTTTTCATGGGCTTAGGTCAGGCAAAGATTTCTTAGAAATGATACAGACAGCACAAACCCTGAAAGAAAAAAATTGATAAATTAGATGTCATCAAAATTATAAATATTTGTTCTTCAAAAGACACTGGTAAGAAAATGGAAATGCAGGCCATGAACTGGGAGAAAATATTGGCAAAACACGTACCTGGCAAAGGACTGGTATGGAGAATATATAAAATAACTCTCACAACTCAACAATAGGAAGACACAACCAGATTTTTAAATGAATAAAGAGTTAAACAGATACTTCACCTAAGAAGATAGACAAAAAGTAAGTAAGCACATAAAAATCTGTCCAATATATTGTTTTTCGGTGAGAATACATATTTTTATTGAGTAGTTGGGCATAAGGCTTAACTTATTCATGAGATTTGCTCAGTTTTATTTATTTTTTATTTTTTTAAAGCTGCCCAATGTTAATAATCCATTGGAGAAATGTAAATTAAAACTTCAGTGAAACATCCCTATATATGCAGTAGAATGGTTAAAATTAAAAGCCACTCAATACCAAGTGTTGCCCAGGCTGTAGAGCAACAGGAACTGCCATGTGTTGTCAGTGGGAATGCAAACTGGTATAGATACTTTGGGGGAAAAAGCTTGACAATTTATTATAAAGGTAAACCTATAATTACCATACAACCCAGCAATCCTGTTCTTAAGTATTTACTCAAGAGAAATGAAAACATGTGTCCCCACATAGACTTGGATGTGAATGTTATTAGCAGCTTTATGCATAATGGCAAAAAAAAAAAGGAAACAGCACAAGTATCCATCAACTGTTGAATGAGTAAACAAATGTGCTATGTCCACACAAGGGAATATTAGTCGCCAATAAAAAGGAAAACACTACTGATACATAGAACAACATGGATTAGTTCATGTGATTATGCAGCCTGAGAAGTCCAAGATCTGCCATTTGCAAGCTGTAGGCCCAGGAAAACCAGTGGTGTAGTCCGGGTCCAAACCCAAAGCTCTGAGAACCAGGGGTGTCAATGGAGTCAATCCCAGCCTGAAACTGAAAACCTGGGAACCAGGAGTGCTGATGTCCAAGCGCAGGAGAAGATGGGTGTCTCAGCTCTATTCAGACCCTCAAGGACTGAGTGATGCCACCCCTGTTGGTGAGACCCATCTTCTTTCCTCATCTGCTAACTCAAATGCTAATGTCTTCCCGGAAACACCCTCACAGGCACACCCAAAAATGATGTTTCATAGCTGTCTGTGCCTCCCTTAGCCCCGTGAAGTTGATAGGTAAAAATATTAGCATTAACAACTACCCAAAGACAAGCTCTGGCACTTTTCAACACCAAAAGACTGGAATACAGAAAATAAAATTAAGTCTTACAAATAAAAAAAAAAACAAACCCACAGGCCACCCAATAAAGATGGACAAAAGACATTAACAGGCATTTCACAAAGGAGGATATCCAATTGGCCAAAAAAGGATGAAAAGGTGATCAACCAACCACATTAGTCATTAAAATAAAAATTACTCGGGGAGCCTGGGTGGCTCAGTCATTAAGCGTCTGCCTTCGGCTCAGGTCATGATC